TGGTACCAGGGATTGAATTCGGGTCCTTCAAGGCAGGCCACCGAACCGCTGAGCTAAATCCCCGGCCCCCCCGTAGCTGTTTCTATCTCATATGTCACTCTGTAGGCTCACACTCATGTGTGTCTTGTTTGGTTCTTACCTCTGTTCACATGGATTGGACAAGTGAAAAGTCCTGTAGGAGCACAAAGCCATTCCCCTTGGCACCAGTAGTATGTGATCAAGACCGTTTCTCCTCCCTGTTGCTGGAAAAACCCTAGAAGTTCTCCCTATGAAAAAAACGGAAGCCTTACCGATTTCTGCTTTTGCTTTGCAGACTGACACTACTTTACTCAACCACTGTCTTCTTGGCCAGAGAGGCCTTCCGCAGAGCTTGTCTGAGTGGAGGTGCCCAGCGGGACTGGAGGCAGACCCTCAACCTCCTGTGGCTAACGTGAGTTGTTGAGATGGGTTTCAGGAAGGCCAGAGTAATGAGTGTTGTAAGTGAAACAGCAGAACCTGCCTAACACTGAATTGTCTCTAGCTTGAGTCTGCAGTGGGTCTCTGGAGGCTAGGCCTGTGATAGGAAGTGGAGAGTGCTTTGGTGGAGAGTCTCGGGTCATTTTCTCTGTGGGTATCCAGGAGCTGGGAGGAGGCTCTACGTGGGGTTTCTGGGCCAGATTTCTAGCCTGGTGTTGTCCTCTTTGAGCCTGTTTCTGCTATTCCTGACCACCAGTCTGGGCCCCACTTGGCCTGTACCATTTTTTATTCCTAATCTTTTTTGAGTTTTTAATAAATACTGAATATTTTAAAAAGCATTTTAAAGGCTTCATTACATCTTTGATTTTTCAAGTGATTTTGATTTTGATTCTTTTAGAATATCCTTGAAAACTAAGTCTATCAGTTAAAAATTATAATGGCTTTTCTGCACAGAGGGCTGGTGGTTGGGGCTGTTTTCTAATGCTTCTCTTGCAGGGCTGGGGATTTAGCTCAGTGGTTCCACCACCTGCCTTGGAAACACAAGGACCTGAGTTCGATCCCTGGTACAAAAAAAAATTTAGTGAGACACTGTCTCAAAAAAAAAAGCTTTCCATCTAATGCTTCTCTCGCATCATTCCTTACTGCCTCAACAGAAATGACTGTCGAAGGACTGATAGGTGTTCATTTTATTAGGGGAATGACAGTCACATTTAGGTGCTCTGTGGTACACATGTGAAAGGATATTGTGCAGTGACTGTTGGTTATTTGGGGTTCAAGAACCTGCTGAATACTGTCAGTCATTCTAAGTGCAGACAGCAATCATTTTCTTTCTGGGATTTTTGCTTACCAAGTTAGTATGAGTCATTGGATAGGAATGTAGCCTTTGGAGTTAGATCAGGATTGAATCCTGCTTCTGCTCTGGACTCCCTATTCATGACCTGGGGCAAATTACCCCAGGCCTGTCGGCCTCAGTTTCCTCATCTTCTGAATGGGGATAATGACGGAGCTCATTGTGGGATGTCAGTGGGATAAAGAGCTTGAGTCATAGTGCCTGCTTTACCTACAAATAGTAAATTAATGTGGTAGCTGTTTTTATTTTGACTCTTTAATTCACTGTTACTATTTCACTGCATATTTGTATTTGTTTTAAAATTTAATATTTTAGGGCTGGGGATTTAGCTCAGCAGTTCGGTGGCCTGCCTTGCAAGCGCAAGAACCCAAGTTCAATCCCCGGTACCCAAAGAAAAAAAAAAAAATTTTTTTTAAACTTTTTTCTGCCCTTCCAGAGTCCCATTAGGTGTGTTTTGGTCTTTGTTCCTGGGCTGGGTCTGGCTGCAGTTGCTTGAAGTACCTCATCCTGATGTGGTCCCCCACTATGGAACTGCAGTAGTATTATTTGGTCTCTCAGCAGTGGTGGAACTTCTAGGAGAGCCCTTCTGGGTCTTGGCACAAGCACATATGTTCGTCAAGCTCAAGGTCAGTATACTGTGTGCTGTGAGGGAAATGTGAAGAATAAGATTAAAATGTAGTTTTTTTAAATATAAGAGAATGGTATTTCACAGTCTTGGATCTTAAAAAACTATTTGGAAAAAGGTAACATGATCACTTAAGTCGATTTACTTGAAATTTATGAGATGGCCTGAGCTAAAGTTTACCTTTGCTGCTGGACATGGTGTTATATGCCTATAATCCCAGCACACAGGAGGCTGAGGCAGGAGGATTGACATGAGTTCAAGGCCATCCTGGGCTACATAGTGAGACTCTGTCTCAAAAAACCAAATAATTAAAAAAAAATTTTTTTAAATGAAGTTTACCTTTGCTATACTATAAATTGAAAACCAGTTTAAGTTGGGCGTGATGGCACATACCTGTAATCCCAGCACTCAGGAGACTGAGGCAGGAGGATCCCTATGAGTTGGAGACCAGCCTGAGCTACATAGTGAGTTCCAGGTCAGTCTCAACTACATAGTGAGACCTGTCTCAAAAAATCAAAAAAGATAGAAGAAGAAGAAAACCAGTTTGCTAGTAAGAAAGTTATTAGGTTATGAGTTTAAATCAGAATTTAGAAAGACGTTAAAAACAAAAAAGAATTTGGGAGGACTATGAAGCATTCCAGATTTTTGTGGAGATTCTATTTAGTTGCATACTAATACTGACCTTTCATCTTTAAAAATATACGTAATATGTATAAAATTATATATATAATGTGTGGACCTTAAAACACAACACGCTGAGGATGCGTGAACTTACCAGTCAGCCTGGGAAGTAAAACATTGCAGGGGTTATGCCCAGCCATGCTCTGCTCCCTCCACCAGGGTAGCTCTGGGTTTCCTGCTTGTCATTCCCTTGTGTCTTCACTTCTGATAATGTCTGTGAAGTGCACCTTTACCATGTGTTTGCAGGTGGTTGCCGAGAGCTTGTCAGTAATCCTCAGGAGCATCCTCATAGCTTTGCTTGTGCTGTGGTTGCCTCACTTGGGACTGTACATCTTCTCTTTGGCCCAGGTAGGAGTTCTTATGTAGTCTGTGTTTCTCTGCTTTTTCTTCTTGTTCCCATTACTGTGTGTTTTATGTTTGCATTATTCGTGTATGTAGGGAAGGCTGGTAATGCCAGAGGCAGACCCTGCCACCACTTCTCTGGCTGCCATATCCATGTTGTGCCCTATTGTGACACTGCTAGGGTCCTCGAGGACTCCATACTCAGTGACATTGTCAAGCATCAAAAAGCCCTTTTAGCTGGGCGTGGTGGCACATGCCTGTATTGCCAGCACTTGAGAGGCTGAGGCAGGAGGATCGCTATGAGTTCGAGACCAGCCTGCGCTACGTGATGCGTTCCAGGTCAGTCTCAACTACATAGTGAGACCCTGTCTCAAAGAAACAAGAAAAAAAAAGCCCTTTTAGACATTCTGTGACCATGCCCATATCAAGCTGATCTTTGATTATCTGATACTATTATGGAGGGGGGAAAAAAAGTTAAGGAGGTGGGTGGGAATAAAGTTACATATGTATTATTTTCCTTGGCTTTTAATCAGTTGCTTACAGGATGGAGGAAACTGTGACAAGCCTGTTTTAAACTTTGATTGAAATCTCACATAATTCAGGGCCGGGGATTTAGCTCAGTGGTTCGGTGGCCTGCCTTGCAAGCGCAAGGACCTGAGTTCAATCCCTGGTACCCCCCGCCAAAAAAAAAAAAAAAAAAAAAAAAAAAAAATCTCACATAATTCAGAAAAAAATGAATCAAGTCAAGACTAGTTGCATTTTCAGTTTTAGCAATTTTTACTTCATTTCCATCTCATTTCTAGTTCTTCATATTCCTAAGTCTAGTGAAAATATAGCTAGAGTACAAGGCAATTTTAAAAAATGAAACCTAAAATTAGATATTTACCCAAACATCTTACAATACAAAATAGTTTGTAGTTTTTAGTAGTATATTGGAAGACAAATTAAGAGTTGTTGTTTCTTTTTGTTTTGGTGCTGGGGATTGAACTTGGGTCCTTGCAAGGCAGGCGGCAGAACCACTAAATCCCCAGCCCCAAATTAAGATTCTTAGTAATGCTTTATGTGAAATTCTTCCCATGTTCTAAGCAAAAAGCAACATATGGAACACAGTAGAGCTAGATTTAAAATTAATAAAATAATGAGAATTGCCTGCAAAAGCAGTTTGCAAGCAGTTGCATGTTTTAGAGACGTTATCTGTGTTTTTTTTCTGCCACATTTTATTGGATTTAGGACTACAGTTCTCATCGTGTATCATTGTTTTTATGCATTCTATGTAGTAGAGTATGAAGGCTACAGAGATACCTGGCTGTTGGGTAACTCCTCTTAGGAAAGTTGCTCACATTATGAGTATCTGACTGTCATAACTCCAACTCGGGAATATCACAGGTCAGTGATGATGAACCTTTTAGAGTTTTTAATGATACAAACAGCCCGCTACAGCATGCATGCCATAGGTTCGCCACCACTGTCATGGGTCATAGTTTAGCAAGACTCATTCTGAGATTATTTTTTATTTGTGGTACTGGGGAATTGAACCTGGAGCTTTCACACTGAGCTACATCTTCAGACCTTTTTCTTTTCTTATTTTGAGATATGGTCTCACTCATTTGCCACATTGCCCAGACTGGGGTTGAGTTCATGATCCTCCTGCCTCAACCTCCCACAGTGCTAGGATTACAGACTTACACCGCCTCACCTGGCTTTATTTGCTTCTTTACCATAAAACTTCTAGGGAAGGGAGGAGTGGGTGAAGGGAGGGCAGGGGTATGGGGAAAAAATGAGAACCAAGACCTGTCATGTAAAGGTACAAGATCCCAAAGATGAATATAACTCTACTGTGTATACCTAAAATGTACCAATAAACTTAATGAGGAAAAAAATAATAATAAAAATTTAAAAAATAAAAACTTCCAAGAGCTCTTCTGTGTGGTATTCACTGTCAGTGTCTGTGAGAGGGCTAAGAGCTAGAAACACTTCATAGAAGTGGATGACCACACCCACAGTGTCCCGTTTGTCATATCTGCCTCCAAGTTCATCCTTAAACTGGCCTGTTGTCCATTATCATATGTCAAATAAGAGGGTAATTCCAGAATAAATACCTCTTGTAACTCAGTAGTGACAAAACAATTAAAAAATGGGCAAAGGATCTGAATAGATGTTTTCCCAAAGAGGATATATAGATGAACGGCCAATAAGCATTTAGCCTGAAAAGATGCTCAACAGCACTAGTCATCAGAGAAGAGCAAATCAGAACTACGGTGAGACAGCACTTTGTGTCCATTGGAGTGGCTATTATAAAAAACAAAATAACAAGTGTTGGTGAGGATGTAGAGAAACTCAAACCCTAGTACATTGCTGGTGGGTATGAAAAATAGTGTTGCTGCTGTGAAAAACAGTATGGTGGTTCCTCAAAAATGACTAAGCAGGGCCGGGGATTTAGCTCAGCGGTTCGGTGGCCTGCCTTGCAAGCGCAAGGACCCGAGTTCAATCCCTGGTACCAAAAAAAAAAAAAAAGACTAAGCAGTTCTAATCCTAAGTATTTATACCTAAGAGAATTGAAAATACTTCTTCAACAAAAATGTACTGTGTGAACGTTCATAACACTATTCCCAGTAGCCAAAAGGTAGAAACATCACATGAATGAATGGATAAACGGAATATGGTATCTCCACAGAGTGGAATATTATTCAGCCATAAAAATGAAATACTGACAGTACACCATGGATGAACCTTGAACGCATTATACTATGTGAAAGAAGTCACACAAAGGCTACATAGTATGAGTCCATTAATATGTAATATCCAGGCTAGGCAAGTCCACAGAGACAGAGCAGATTAGTGGTTGCTAAGGGATGAGAGAATGGGCAGTAACTGCTTAATGGATGCAGTTTCCTTTTGGGCGATAAAACTATTCTGGAATTAGGTAGTGCTATTGGTTGTACAATAATGTGAATGTACCAAGAAGCTGTTGAATCATACACCTATGATTTTAATTAATTAATTAATTTTTTGGTACCAGGGATCAAACTCGGGCCTTTGCACTTTTGAGGCTGGTGGCGGAACCACTGAGCCAAATCCCCAGCCCAATTTTTTTTATTATGTGAATTTTTCCTCAGTAAAAAAGGGTCATGTGGTTATGATACACTTGCATTGATTAGCTGTAGAACCAGCTGTCTGGGCACGGTGGCACAGGCCTGTAACCCCAGCACTTGGGAGGCTGAGGCAGGAGGATTGCTGTGAGTTCAAGATCAGCCTGGGCTACATAGTCAGTTCCAGGTCAGTCTCAACTACATAGTGAGACCCTGACTCAAAACAAACAAAGGAAAAAGCTTAGCTATAGGTTGTCACTTCCTCTGAGGCCATGGTCAGCAGGAAATGAGGATAGGCAGAGAAGGTGCTTGGCATTGGGCAGTTTTGTTCACAGCAGTGCTGTTTGTCTTTTAAGGGCCCGAGGTCTGAAAGAAGGCTGGTATATAGTGGGCTCTGTCCTCCGGTGTGGCGTGGTTGGAGTGGAGAGTAGAGGAACTTAAGCCTGCTACACTGCAAATCCTTGTGTTTCTTGCTGTGCGACTGTTTTTTTTTTTTGGTACCGGGGATTGAACTCGGGTCCTTGTGCTTGCAAGGCAGGCCACCGAACCGCTGAGCTAAATTCCCGGCCCTGCTGTGCGACTTTTTATGAGAAGCCTTGATAGGCCAGGTGACGGCAGAGTCTAGCAGGCCCAGGGCTTGAGCTCGTATGTGCTGAGGAGCTTGTAAAAGGGGCCCTTTCTGGTTACTCTCCAACCTACAGTCAAAAGCCTGGCTGCTGTTCCTGGCCAGAAGCCATTCCTTTGTCTGAGTTGGGTGGAGGGAGAGGCTGGCCCTCTTACCATCCCTCCCTTTCCTCCCTCCTCCTATAGTAGCTCTCACCCTGCCCATGTGTTGGGTGGAGAGGAAAGAGCCAGTGGCTCAATTCTGCTTTGTAATCGTAAATGTCACAGGTTTCTGGGATTTATGGAAAACCCATAATCCCAGATGAGGGCAGGTTGATGGTTATCAGCCGTCGTGATTTTTGGGTCTTCACAGTGTGTTAGGTAGGTGGGAGAGCTAATCTAAAAATCTTGTGAGAATTTGCAGTAAATATTTAATTTTAAAAAATTCTTATAGTAAAAGACACATTGTCATCAGTCCCCCTCAAAACACTCTCCCTTACTTCAGACACACTTGTCCTATAATTCTTGCCACTTTTTGAAGCAGTCCTGGAAGTCCTGTTTCATGAGCATCTTTATGAAGTATGATCAAAAATGGGAAGGGATGGGTATTATGCTCAATGGCCCCGCACCTGCCTTGCAAGTGCAAGGTCCTGAGTTCGATCCCTGGTACAAAAAAATGCTGCTTCTAAGTGCTATCCGACAGAAAGTTGGGCTTATGAAAACATTATGGTATTTCCGGGCATGGTGGCACACACCTCTAATCCCTGCACTTGGGAGGCTGAGGCAGGAGGATCTCTGTGAGTTCAAGACCAGCCTGGGCCACATAGTGAGTTCCAGGTCAGCCTCAACTACATAGTGAGACCCTGTCTCAAAAACAAAATCATTATGGTATGTTTTCATCCACGTTGTTTATGAGAAGCCCTGTGACTTATGGCTCTTCCCAAAGTTAAAATGACCGTTAAATGGATTCATGACAGCAAAACCAAAGATGCTCATGAAAGGAGACTTCCTGAACTGTTTCAGAAAGTGACAAGGATGATGGGATAAGTATGTTCAAAGTGAGAGAGGGAATTTTGGGGGGAGTTAGTGACAGTGTATCTTACTGTACTGTTAGAAACAAAACCCAAAATTTTGCTGTTCTTTTCATCATGCCTTGAGGCTGTCATGGAAGTTCTGTTCTGCCCCTTGGGTAGGGTGCCTGGAAGATGCAGGAAGATGCTGCAGTGGAGCTGGATCTGGCTGGACAGCTGTTTCCAGAGGACGGGCACTGCTCAGCAGGAAATGCAGTCACTTAAGACCTGTTTCTTGTGCTGGCTTTGGCAGCTCATACACTACAAGGACAGTTCTATTTCTTGATTGGCCTTTGAGGTCAAATTTATAGACATACTAAAATTATACCTATATTAAAACAGTTTAACTTCGACCTATTATTTTCTTTTTTTCAGCTTTTTTATACTGCAGTCTTGGTGCTTTGCTATGTTTTTTATCTCACAAAGTTACTGAGTTCCCCAGAATCAGTCAAGCAACAAACTCTTCCTGTCTCCAGAATAACAGATCTATTACCCAGCATTACAGGAAGCAGAGTAAGTAATACAATCTGTACTTTATCATTTTAATCAGAAGATGGTTATCCTTGAGAAAAGGAAATTGTAACTGGTTTATTGTTGTAATAGGAAAAATAATGTTTAGCACGTATTTATCGAGTGCTTGTTATGTGCTAGGCACGGGCTCCTAAATCTTGCACTGGTATCATTTTGGTCTGGACAATTCTTTGGAACTGTCAAGTGCACTGTAGCATGTTTAGCAGCATCTCCACTTTACTAGATTCCAGTAGCAATCCGCCTCTCTGCTCCCCAATGCAACACCCAGAAGCATTTCCAGACACTGCAAAATGTCCTCTAGGGGCAAAAATTTCTCCCGCTTGAGAAGGACTGTGCTAGGCCGTATGCCAAATGCTTTACATGCCTTATTCAGTGCTTGTAACTCTGACAGCTGGACACGGTTACTATTTCTATTTTAGAGTGGGAGAGTTAAGGACTAGCAAATAAATACCTGTTCAAGGTGAGGTTTGGGGCAGGGATGGGATTCTGGGGGCAGCTCTAATGCCAGCAGATCAAGGCTCTAACCATTGTGCTCCTCAGTTTCTGTTCCACTGTGTCTTTGGAGTGACCTGTGGCACAGGCAGTGCAGAGTTCTGAGCAAGGAATGACTTCTAGTGGTTTCTTTATCAGCTGTGAGCTCAGTCTTTCACATGCTCTACTTTCCTACCCAGAGGAGCCTGGGGGCTGATGTGTGAAGTACAATCCTCTTCTACCCATCTCTTCGCTCTGTCCATTTGGCTTGTGTTTCCTGCTCTGCACAGTAAGTCCTGATGTCTCCCACCCAGAGGTGCGCATAGAATCAAGCGCCACACTGCCTCTCCCAGATGCTGTGAGCTGCTCTGTGAGGGGCGCATTTCCTGTTCCCCACATGTGTTTGCTTGCTCGATGTGCTACACTTTATTGTGACCAAATTAGAGGTAGCCTTTTCTATTCTTCTAGAATTCTGTCTTCACAGATGTTTGTCTAGGTTTATAATAAGTTAATGACCCCTCAAATAATGGCTTTTGTATTCCTTGATGTTTCTGAGTAATTCAGTATGAAAGATCTGCTAATATTTAAGTAAAGCTGAAGAGCTGAGGGCTTTGACATGCTAAGTGTGTACTCAGGGTGGTTCTGTGTTGAGGACTGTGCCATGTGCCCTGAGGGGCGCCTCAGCTCTCAGAATTTGCGTTCTGGTGGGAGATCAGATGGGTACTCAACTGACTGCACTGTGTAGTCTGATACAAGACCTCGTGCATGTCTGGACACAGAGAACTGATGTGTTCCATCTGGGAGCGCGGCAGAAGGCTTCATGGAGGAAGCTGCCTTTGAGCTGGATTTTGACACATGGGTGGCAGAGGTGAAGTGTGTATGTGACCACAAGGAAGGAAAGACTTGTTTTCTGAAGCTGGGTGTGGTGGCACACGCCTGCAATCCCAGCATTCAGGAGGCAGATGGAGGAGGATCACAGGAAGTTCAAGCCTACATAGTGAGTTCAAATCCAGCCTGTGCTACATAGAGAAACCCTGTCTCAAAACCGCGTCCCTCCCCAGGGAGGGAATTTTTTTTCTGGGCCTGTTCTATGCGCATCATTGTGTTGGAATTGGAAATGCAGAATGACTCTGGTACTTAGGTTGCCTGGTTGGGGAGAGGGAAAGAAAACAGAATGTGGACAGAGTGTATGAAGGGAGGTAAACTGGGCCAGCTGGGCTAGGGCCAGGTAGTAGGGGTCTCATTGCTGTGGAGTTTGGGCTTAATTCAGGAGTGGTGGAGCCCAGTGAAAAGCAAGTAGTACTGTGGACCAACTGCCTATGTAGAGGAGCTGACCATCCATTATAACCTGTAGGGTCTCATTTTCCCCCCACACTAGCTCCATGAGGATCCCATTTTGCACATGAGAAAACCAAAGCATTGTTAGGTATCTGACCTGTTGCCTTTGGACTAAGTCAGGGAGCTGCACTTTGAGCTCCAGCCTCCAGGCTTGACTCTGAAGCATGCATGGCCACCCTTTTGGCTTGCCTGGCCACAATGAGTGAAGGTGAATTGTCTTGGGCTGCATATACAATACAGTTAATGTGTGTAAGCAGCAAAACTTCCATATCTGTGAAAACAGGGCAAGCAGACTATGGGCTGAGGGTCAGATATGCCTGCTGAAGCCTAAACTTACAGTGAGAAGAGTGGGCTAGAGAGAAAGAGGCAAAGAAGCTCAGAAAGGAGGTTGTGGCAATTCCAGGTGAGAAGTGAAGAGAATGTCAGGGAGACAAATGCAGATGGGAGGATGGACAAGGCTGGGGCTGAGTCTGTGGCCCAGGAGCAACTGGCATAGGCGGAGCAAGGGGCACAGGAGAGAGAGAGTAAGTGTTGTATGGGCAGAGGGAGGACCAGGACCTCAGGCTCTCCGGTGACTCTTGTCAGTGTGGGAAGGATGTGGCTAATTGATTATCCTGAGTCAGAAAAGTTTGGGAAGTGGAAGACTGATTCAGCCCAAGGCAGGATGAGCCTCTGAGTTTCGACTCCAGACCTTTCGAAGAGTCACTGACAACCACCTTTTGTCTTCCGAGCCTCAGTTTCCAGTCAGTACAACAAGGCTGTGGTTTGCTAGGAGATTCTGGAGAAGTTCATGTCTCTTTAGAACAGCTCAGTAGTACCACCCTGACTTTGTGAAGTTGGTCTTTGGCCAGCCAAGTGACAAATTTTTTCTAAATAGAATGGTTACAAGTCTGCAGAATTTGCTTCCTCTTCTATACCACCTATATACCCTGAGAACAATCTCAGCCTTGGATTATACTGCCTGTCTATCCCTTAATAGCACTTTGCAATAGTAAGCAGTATGGCCATCGCTTCATGGACCTAATTAATTTGAAGGTCTTAGAAGAGAGGAATTCTTGGCATAAGCTTTCAGGTAAGATTCACTGTCATGATACCACCTTTTGAGGAACTTTTTCTCTAAAAAGCTCAGTCATCTTTCCAAACCCATTCATAAGCAACTAGCAAGTAGGCTTCACAATAGCCTCATTGGCAATCTGTAATTTTTATTTCCTTTGAAAACAGCACAGGTAGCTGGATGTGTGGTGCACGCCTATAAGCCCAGCAGTCAAGGAGGCTGAGGCTGGAGCATTGCAAGTTCGAACATAGCACGAACAGCTGAAGTGAGCCCGTCTCAAAATAAAAAATAAACAAAGGACTGGGGACGTAGCTCAGGGTTAAGGCCCCACGCACAATCCCCAGTACTACAAAAACTAAGAAACAAACAAAAAAACCAACCAAAAAAAAACCAAAACCATGAGTACTTCTGTGCAGACCCCTTGAAAGACCAGCATGGCAAGGGGCAGAGAGTCATGTGAGAGGGAAGGTGCTCTGCCCCTGTCTTCCCTGGTGCTGAATTCCCTGTAGCTGACTGCACAGAATCGGTTTTGGTTTTTTGAGACAGGGTCTCACTGTGTAGTTGAGACTGACCTGGAACTCACTGTGTAGTCCAGGCTGGTCTTGAACTCACAGCGATCCTCCTGCCTCACCTTCCCAAGTGCTGGGATTACAGGGGTGAGCCAACACGGCGCAGAATCAGCCACTGTTAAAGATGAGTGGTCCACAGTGTCCCCTAGTGGTGATAGTTGCCTGGTGATGGCCTGGTGTAAGCATTTGCTGGCCCAGTTTCCTTCTCATTGTGGAAAATTTTCCCTGGAGCTAGAGCTACCCTGGCATCCGCTCCAGGTTCAGTGATACCCTGCAGGTACTGCACTTTGGGTGGATTCAGACCTGTCCTTCTCATGTTTAGAAGTAAGATTCATAAACTCGTGGATGAGTAGAATGGGGACTGCAGTGACCCTTGCTTTCAGAGGTGCTCTAGACTTTCCCTGTCATGATGGTAGCTGCCAGCCACATGTGGATATAGAACCTTTTGGAATGTGGTTGTTCCTTAGATGAGCTGTGAGTGCAAGAAACACTGGATTTTGAAGACCTAATATGGAAAAAATAATGTTAAATGCCACTCATATTTTTTACATTAGTTACATGTTCAAAAGTATAATATTTAGATCAAGTAAAATATATTATAATTAGTTTCATTTGTATCTTTTTCCTATTCATTGTGTCTGTTGAACAATTTAAAAATTACATTTCTGCTAGACAGCCTTGCTCTATACAGGTGAGCTTCAGGCCAACAGTGGGGGCCCATATGACTGGGGTAAGTTCCAGGCTGCCCGTGAGCCCCTTTCCATGGCTGAGACTCACCTTTTGGAGAGGTGAAATGGACTTGGACTGTGACCCACTCTTTCCCTTCCAAAGACCCATTGGAACCCTACCATTCAGAAGTCATCGGATGCCTGTGTGAGGGACCCCCAGAAGGAACTGGGGGAGGTCAGGTGGCCACCCCACTCCTCCATTTTGTGACCGCTCTCTGGCTTTGAGGACACCTGTCTCGTACAAGCTGACCTTGGCTGTGCCCAAGTGTTTTCCTCTTTCTACCCTCTTTGCTTGTAGGAAGTAGGCAGTTTGATGGCCCTTGGGAGATTTGGAAGGACCATATCTGAAGTTTTGTTTTATTCTTTCCTCTGTCATACCAATTCTGAGTGATTTGCCTGACCTGGGAAGGCTGAATTTCTTTTGAAATATACGAGCACACTTCGTATACTTGGTGAGAAAGGGCATTAAGGTGTGGGGTACATGGAACAGAATTTGTTCTGTAGCTTGGCATGTTTCAGACACTTAAAAAAACTTTTTGTAGTGCTAGGGATCAAACCCAGGGGATCATGAATGCTAGATAAGCACTCTGCTATTCTGCTACATCCCCAGACTTTCAGACTTTTTTTTTTTTAAGAACACAATAAGCTAAATGTATCAGATGTAGCCAGGGTACAGGCTGGGCCTCCAAGGGGACAGCAGCAATTCTTTAGGGGTCTCTGTGACTCTTGGACCTAACCCTACAGCCTTCATCTTCATGTTTAGTGATCTTTTAGTTAGCTTTCTGTTACTATAACAAATACCTACAAATTAATGGATAAAGAAAATGTGGTGTTTATACACAATGGAACACTACTGTGCTATGAAGGATAAATTTCAGTCATTGGTAGGAGAACGGATGCACCTCAAAACCATAATGTTAAGTGAAATAAATCAGACACACAAGCTAAAATATCATGTGGTTTCTCTTACATGAGAACCCTAAAGTCTAAATAAACAGCAAATTAGAAGATAGATAACAGGAAACAAGGAGATAGATCTTTTGCAATGGGGAAGTAGATCAAGAAATGGAGGGAGCAGGGAAAGGGAGGAGGAGAAAGGTACATAAAAAGAGTTACGATGTGTTATAAATACATGTACCAACTCCCCACAGTGAGTTAATCACTATGTACTGCATATATGTGCTAATGAAAATGAAAATAAATAAATAATCAGCTCGTAAAGAGCAACCACTTATTCCGGCTTACAGTTTGGAGGTTTCAGTTTGGGCCCTGTAGCGAGGCAGCACATTGTCACAGAGGTGCAGCAGAGCAGGGCAGCTTACCTCGTGGCCAAGAGGCAAGAGAGAGAAGAGGCTGGAACCCTGCAGCTCCCTTCAGAGCGCACAGCAGTGGCCAGAGCCCTCCCCGCAACACCCCTCTGAGAGCTTCTGCCTCTTCCCCTGTGGGCTGCTGAGGACCAGACCTTCAATACATGGCCATTGGGGGCTTGGAGGTCCAAACTCTAGCAGCGATGTAAACTCCTTCCCAGTGTCTGTGGGTGCCTCTGTGTGCTGATCATTAAATGATTCCGTGGGGACTTTGCACATTGGGTCTAAGGACTGGAATAAATTGTTTTTTCTGGTAGCATTTTATTGTTATCCTTGAAGTGCCTGGAATGTTTTGTTCTGCTTTTTTGTTTTCTCTTTTAGGCTTTTGTAAATTGGAAAGAGGCTAAATTGACTTGGAGTTTTTTCAAACAGTCTTTCTTGAAACAAATTTTGACAGAAGGTAAGTAAAAGGTCACTCTGATCAGCCAGGGGATCATAGTAGAAACAAAGGAATTTTACGGGACTGCTGATTATCTGGGTCCATCCACCTTTCTGGAGCACTGTTGGCAAAGGACTGCCATTTTTTGATTGTTTTTATTTTTAGATGGAGAGGGAAACCAAGATTTATTTAGTTTTATGCTTTTTTTTCCTGCTACCGAGGATTGAACTGTGGCTTGCACCTGTGAGGCAGGCATGGTGCCACTGCACTAAATCTCTGGCCCAGTTTTATGCTTTAAGTTATCTGATTTAAATCTCTCCACACAATAAAAAAATATTTTTCCTTTATTATGGATGCAGGAACTGAAAGTTCATGAGCTTATAGAACTTTAGGGGCCTACTGTAGTGAGGAACAGTTTAATTAGAATCCAAGACTGTTAATCAGCTTTCTGTTAATGTGACAGAATACCAGAGAGAATCAACCTGGAAAGAGGAAAGGCTTATTTGGCTCACGGTTTCAGAGGCTTCAGTCCATGTCATTGGCCCTATTGCTTTGAAACTGTGGCAGTACAGTGTGTCATGGTGGCTGGGAACCAAAGAGAGGTAGAAGAGGTTAGAGTTTCATTATCTCCTTCAAGGAACTGTCCCAAGGACCTAACTGTGGTTGTGCTATAAAGGTTCCACCACCTCCAATGGGACCATGGGTTGGGACCAAGCCTTTAATACATGGGCTTCTGGGGGAACTTCATATTCAAACCATAGCAAATTCTAACTGTAAAACCCCTGTTAGATCATTTTAGTATGTTTATTATGAAAATATCAAATTATAGAAAATTGGAAAATAAACCATCCAATAACCTTATCCTATCCTAAATTTTGTTCTTTTTTCAACTTTTTTAAGAATTAGATTTTTCTTTTAAAAAAAGAAGAAAAGAAAAAAGAACCATGACTTATTTATTTGGCTGTACTGGGTGTGTATTGAACCCATGGCCTTCATCATGAGCTACATTCCTAGTCCTTTATTTAACTTTTTAAAAACTTTTTTGTTTTGAGAGTCATTAGATTGCCCAGGATAGGCTCAAACTTGTGGTACTCCTGCATCAACCCCACAGAGCACTGTGATTACACGCATGCACCAGCACGCCAGACATCATTTTATTGTCCTGTTTTTTTTCCCCTGGTACTGGGGATTCAACTCAGGATCTTGTGTCTGCAAGGCAAGTGTGGTGCCACTGAGCTTAATCTCCACCCTAGTATACTGTTGTTATACTGTATACTATAGGACATAACAATAAGGAAAAAAATGTACATGTTCAGTTCACATGCAATTTTTTTGTTTTGTTTTGTGGTACTGGAGAATGAACCCAGGGCTTTCACACTGAGCTACATCCCCAGACCTTTCTTAGTTTTTATCTTGAGACAGGGTCTCTGTAAATCTTGAAGTTGCCCAGCTGGGCTTGAACTTGCCATCCTCCTGCCTCGGCTTTCCAGAGTGCTGGGATTACAGGTGTGTGCTACCACACCTGGCTTGTGTGTGTGTGTGTGTGTGTGTGTGTGTGTGTGTGTGTGTGTGAATATTTTTGATCTGCAATTGGTTGAATCCTTGGATGCATAACCTCCAGATATGGAAGACCAATTATTTACAAAAGCTGGAACTATTGGCTAGGAGGGTGGATCAGAGAAGCACAGAGATACAGGCCTGGGAGCACTAGCACAGGTCCCTGCTCCACACACTTGTAGGAGACAGGATCAGAGAGAGGAGCGACTTGAAAGAAGATGGAAACTAGCCTCTTGATGTTTTCCTTTTGCCAGGAGGTAAGGATTTGACCATGAGGCTGTGGGCACTATAGTGGACCCTCGAGTTAGAACTGGCCTGAAATATGAACAGCTTGGGTTATGACCGGAATTTTAGCTTCAGCTTACAGTCTTGAGTTATGACCCAAATACCAGCCAGTTGTGCTTCCAGATGGTCTTTCAGATACCCTGAAAGAACCCTGAAAGAGTTCTCGAAGGAACATTACAGTTAACCCCTCTGTGGGGTTAATTGAGAAGTCCTGGGCCATTGTCTCTCTTAAGGACACTGATCTCTGCCTGTACACAGGAGAGAGACTTTGAAGGCTTTGTAGTGGAGCCTGAGCCTTCAGTTGACCAACTTGAGTTACAGCCAACCCTCGCTAATGAATTGGGTTTATAGTCAAGGGACCACTGTATTCAGTACTCTGTCTCTATAGTGATCAGTGCTTCTCACTCAAGAACAAGAACTCACGAAAACCAGGGGTGGAGGTGAGGGTTGAGGGGCAGTGGGGCCCAGTTGGTGTCTTCACTGGAAGACATTAGACTGTCTTAGATTTCAGGGATTTCCTGAGCCTGCAGAGCAGATCTACCCTAGAGGAAATGTGGATGAGCTTGTGCCCATTATCACAGACATTTCCCTTCTTAGTTTACATCTCAGTTTTCTGACCTCAAGACTTGGGACAGTCGTTTTCGTTATTGACATTTTAGTAATCTCCTAATTTTTTTTTTTTTTTTTTGGTCCCGAGGTATGGGCAGGCCACCGAACCGCTGAGCTAAATCCCCAGCCCATCTCCTAATATTTTTTAAGGTGTTAGACTGATGTTATTAGCTGTTGGTTCTTAATTTAACAGGCCTGGAAGTTTGCTATTAATAAAGCCCTCAGCACTTTCCAAATTATTATGGAATTTGAAATCAGCATTAGAACAACTAATGTGTTTTTATCTGATTTTTCTTCTTTGAGAGTATTTACGAACAGTAAAAGTTGATATATGATAAGAGAAAAGGAAGTAAGAAATGAGTCTGCACTTAAAAGCTGATTATTTTGCTTTTCCTTTTATTCTAGGTGAGCGATATGTGATGACATTTTTTAACATATTAAATTTTGGCGACCAGGGTAAGATAAAATTCTGTAGTGTTTTAATTAAAGGCAAATACTATTAATAGATGTTTTGTAATATTTTTCTTTGTTGTTTGGTACATTTAATGGAAGATGAATCTGAAAATTCTATGACATGCAGATTGTACAAAAATGAGAAGATCGTAACTTGTAGGCCTTTGTAAATATATAAGTAAAGAGACTGCACTCTCTCATGTGACTTGAGTGATGATTTTTTTGTTGTTGGGAACTCTCTGCCTTTCCCCCTGCTTCCTGCAGAGGCCACTGTCCGGATTAGAGGGATGCTAGGAGAGACTAAAAGGGAGCTCACCAGCAGAATCACAAGATCTGCCCTGTATTTGTGTGGCTAGATGGATCTCTCTCAATTATTATTTTTTTTTTTTTTTGGTACCAGGGATCAAACTCGGGTCTTTGTGAGGCAGGATCTGGAACCACTGAACTAAATCCTCAGCCCTCTCTCAATTTTTTATATTTGCTTTTTAGTATAATATCAAAGCAATGGAAATAAAAATAGAAAAAAAAGTCAACTTTGCATTAATGACCTCTATTTTAAAAAGTACCAGTGATAGAAGCATCTTGTTCCTTGGCTATATCAATCCAGTACCCTGGTTGTGGAACTGTACTGTACTTTTTGCAGGATGTTATCAGTTGAGAAAGCTGGACAAAGGGTACATGGAATCTCTTTGGTTGTGTGTAAATCCTCAGTTATCTCAAGATTTTTTTTAAAAATTTAAACATATTAAACTAGAAGAATTGTAACAGTACTGTGAAAGTTAAAATAGAAAAACTAATATGATTGTTGTATTTTCCTTTTTGTTTTGTAGGTGTATATGACATAGTTAATAATCTTGGGTCCCTGGTTGCAAGGTTAATTTTCCAGCCCATAGAGGAAAGTTTTTATTTGTTCTTTGCTAAGGTGCTGGAGAGGGAAAAGGATGCCACACTTCAGAAGCAGGTAGTCTTAGTTTTCATGTACCCTTCTCCCAAATGAACCTTCATCTGATTGCATAACAAACAGAAATAAGGAAGTTTGTTTCCCTGTTGTCTGATGTTAATTTTTCTTTTAGATTTCATCCTTCTCTCACCTTCTGACTAATAGCAGGACCCAGAGCTCATTTATCTTTCCTGACCTTCGCTCTTGCCCCTAGCTGTCCCTTTTGCCTCCCACCTTTGTTCTCTGTGTGACCTTACTCTTTTTTGTCCTTCTACCGGGAATCAAACTCAGGATATTGCACTTGCCAGGCAGGCGTGGCACCACTGAGCTAAATCCCTGGCCCTGTGTGACCTTACTGTTGATCCAGCCCTCCTAGAACCCTCTAGCAGGACAGATACCCTCTCATGTCCTTGTCATAGGTATAAGAATGATGTAGCCTCTCCCACCCTCAGATTCTCAACCAAATAATGCCAATTTAGGGGATGGGGAAGAAAGAATATAGTCATGGGCTTCACCTACCATATCAGTTGTTTAAGCTTTTTACAGATAATCCCGTGCTCAGTGCTACATCTGACCCTGCAAATCAATGTACTCTGGTTGGTCAGAGTAGAGGAGATTCTAGCCCACGAGTATTTAACTATAGAAACTTATTTTTTTGAAAACAAAAATGTCTAACACCTCAAAATTAAAAGCAAGTTAGGTTTATTTCTTCCATGTCTTAGAAGATATTTTGCAAAATATAGTTTATGAATAGTATTTCAAAATAAGCTAATCTGGTTCTCAGTCTGATTTAGGAATATTTAAGTGTACAAAGACAGTAACATCAGAATTTTGAAACATTTGTCAGGAGAAGCACCAAGCTGGCTAGTCTAGATGGAAAGTTGCTGCCCAATGAAGAATAAATATCAGAGGGTAATGTGAGTGTTTCCTAAGCAATAGCTTAAATAATTCCTCCTGAGTGAGTTGAAAACTAAACTTGCCCCTTGTCACCCAAGGAGACACAATTACCTTTTTTCTTTCATTTGCTAATTGTCATAAAAACAAACATGGCCTGAAGAAAACCAGTGAGGCCCTCACTCAGTTGGGTGAGCTGAGGAAGAAGGCCAGATGTGAGAGTTCTTTAGCTCATGATTCACCCAACTTCCTTCCCTTTCTCTGGTCCCAGGAGGACATTGCTGTCGCCGCTGCGGTTTTGGAGTCGTTGCTCAAGCTGGCCCTGCTGACCGGCCTGACCATCACTGTTTTTGGCTTTGCCTATTCTCATCTGGCTCTGGATATTTATGGAGGGACCATGCTTAGCTCGGGATCAGGTATGCTCTATAATTTTGTCAGATTTGTTCTAATTGATGAACAAAAATAAGAGTCTCATGCCATCCAAGAACTTGTACACACACCATTGACATTTGCGTCCTGTAGAAAGATTGTCGGATAGCTGGGGTTGTGGGACTGTTCTGTCACTCAGTGTCAGATGCACACAGAGGGCACGGTCAGGGCCTTGCACTAGGACAGTTAGTTCCCCAGCCTCACCCAGAGTAGCTGTCGTGAATCTTCCCTCCCATCGACTTTCCTCTCAGACTCCAGGTGTGCTTTGCCAAGCACTTGGCCATGCTTCCTCTGGACAAGGGAGGAAGGCAGAGAGCAGGCTCTGATGAATCTCTGCTTGGTACTAACCACATCCGAAGATAGTAAATGCCACATAAATCTTATAGCTGGGTGCGTAAAAGCCTCTGAAGGATAACCCAGAGCCATTTGCAGAGAATAAAATTGATCTTGGCAAATAAAATGGTATATTTAATCCACTGACTCTGAGAAAAATAGTGAATATGTCTAACATTGAAATATATGGTGCCCAGGCCGCCAAGAATCTTGCTAGTTCTTGAGGACTTTACCAGGTTCACAATGTATTTGAGGACTTCACCAGTTTCACAGTGCCTGCTATCGCTGGCAGTCCATTTGCAGGCTTTCATTTTGGGCTTAGCTAAGATGTTTTTAATTCTTCAAATCACTAAACACCTGGGAGAGTCTTTCTCCTCCCATCTCAATATAAAGGGCTTTGTCCACTGCCCTTTCACAAGTTCACTGTTTTAATTGCCACTATAGTGGGGCTCAGACTTCCGTATTGGGCAAAAAAAGAGCCAAATTTCTGCTGTATAGCAAAGGTCATTAACTTGGGAGAAACCTGCTGTGAAGCCAGTGAAGTGGTTTGCAGTTCCCTGGGGCTTGTGCTGTGAGAAGTACATCACCAGCAGGCCACTGTAGGGAAGCCTCATTAGGAAGCCATTAGCAAATTTATATGCAGAGATTGGGGACTCAGTAGTTTCACAGTTGCTTAGAAAGCAGTAACCAAGCAACGACCTTCACTGCAACAAGTCACAGGATATTGCCATGACGGAATGGCCCATCATGTTCACCTGGTAGAGAACACATTGCTGTTGTATGTTCTTTTATTTGAGTGAAGAGCTGGTGTACTTCTGAACATTGACAATTGATTTATCAGTGAAAAGGGTAGAGTTGGTTAAGTTCTAAGGTAATGTGTTCTGAGTCATTAATAATTCTAGATTCAAAAAGGTGCTCTCCAAATCTCTTTAGAGAAAGCAGAGCCTTGGGAATGAGTCTGGGTTTTCAGTCTCTGAAAAGCATGAGTGAGCTGAGCGTGGTGGTACATACCTGTATCTGGCACTGGAGCGGCCAAGTCAGGAGCATCATTGCAAGTCTGAGGCCAGCCTGAGCTACACAGCAAGACCTGTCTGAAAAAACAAAAACAAAAGGCTTGTGGTTTACTATAGCTCTGCAGAACCATTGTCCTCGTTTGCCTGCCCCTCTACCCTAGTGCCACTGCAGTAGGGTCTTCTAGTGTTTGAACCCAAGTTGTCACTGCCTGTCACTTTGATGAGACTTCCACTCTGTGTACAACCTGTGTGGCTTCTGAATAGGGTCCCTGCCTTTCTCTGGGGTGCCTGCTTTCGCTCCCACTCTAAACCACCCTGCCTCCTTGCCCACTCCTGTCTCATCGAACTCGTGCTATGCACCCAAATGCCTCTACTGTGCCAGGAAATAGCTAACACCACTCCTCTCTCTAACCCACCCCAACAATCTTTTTGTTTTGTTTTGTGTTTTTCGAAACAGGATCTCAATATGCAGTTCAGCCTGGCTTTGACTCACTATGTAGCCCAGGCTGGTCTCAAACTCACAGTGATCCTCCTGCCTCAGCCTCCCAGGTGCTAAGATTACAGGCATGCGGTACCACACCTGGCTCCAACAATCTTTTCTGATCATTTAAATAATTCATAAAACTAGACATTGTGACATTATTCAGAAAGACTTCCTGGATTAAATGGAAAGAATAGCAACCATCCATGCTCAGCCCCATCACTTTATCCACTTGCTCATATAAGTACTGGGGTAAGAACCCCAGGGCCTCATAAATGCTAAGCAGACACTACCACTGAGCTGTACTTACCTGTGACCAGTATTGGTTATCTCCGAATGTTAGACTTGGCTAGAGGGTAGCAGGCCTTTGTGTGGGGTGTGGTTTTGTTCTGTATTATTTGGGGTTCACGTTGCCTGTAATTAGGGGCTTTGTAAGTACTCTGGAGGCTTTTCTGAGAAATCTTTCTCACACTTAAGTCTTCCATTCATTTTTTTGTTTCTTTGTTTTTTGAGACAGTGTCTTGCTAGATAGTTCAGGCTAGCCTTGAACTTGCTATGTAGCCCAGACTGGCCTCAAATGTGCAACAACCCTCCTGCCTCAGCCTCCTGAGTGCTGCGTATGCAGGCATGCGCCACTACACTTGGCTCAACTTCTTCATTCTTAAGAAAAGCAAATAGGCAGGCCTAGACTACATAGTGAGACCTTGTCTCAAAAAAACAAAATGGGCCCGGGGATTTAGCTCAGGGTTACCATGCCTGCCTTGCAAGTGCAAGGTCCTGAGTTCAATTCTCAGTACCAAAAAATGAAAACAAAGACAACCGACCAAAACCAAAACCAAAATCAAAATATTCACTGAGCTTCTGCAAGATTTATCTTTTAGGTGCTTCTCTCTTGCTTTTTCTTTCCTTTTAAAAATATTTTTTTGTCACCATCCCTTTACATGACTTTCCTACCGTAGGACTGCATGACCAAGCACCAGACCCAATAATGTTATTTATTCTCTTTTTAGGGGATGCTGGGGATTGAACTAGGCTTCATGCTTGCAAAGCAAGTGCTCTACTAAGCCACCCAGCCCCTCTGAGCGGCTTTAAACAACAGAAATGTATTGTCTCCCAGTTCTGGAGGCGAAAAGCCCTAAACCAATGTGTCAACAGGGCCACAGCCCTCTGATGCCTCTAGGGGAGGCTCCTTCCTTGGCTCATCGGGTTTGGTGTTTGCCAGAAGCGTTTGGTATTCCTCAGCTAGTACCTGTTCCACTCCCGTTGTGCGCCATGTTCTTCATGGGTGTTTTCACTTTGTCTTCCTTCGGTGCATTTCTGTCTCTGTGTTATGCTTCCCCTCTTTATAAGGACACCAGTCATTGGGGGAGGACTTATGACCTCATTTTACTAGAATATCTCCATAAAGACCTTGTTTCCAAATAAGATCATGTTCTGAAGTGCCGAGAGTTAGAACTTTACCATATCTTCTTGATGGGAAACAGTTCAACCCAAAACATTCTCAGTTCAACCCGCAGTTTAAGATTCCATCTTTGAATTCCCCAAGTTGGCTCAAAGCCTTTTTACTTGAGTCACTGCTTCATGCCGGAGTTTGTGTTTTCCATGACCCTGAGCAGCGCACTGCCCATCCTGAAGGCCCCCATGGGCTGTGAGCATTCTGTTACCAGGTGAGAGGGATCCCATTCCTCTCTGCTTCTGCCAGAGAGAGGAGGGCAGGGAGAAGCAGAGGCACCACCCAGGGGCAGAGCTTGGTCCCTGCCTCCTCTCCTGGTTACTCCTTAACCTGGGGTGACAGCAGGCTGCCTTTTTCAGGGGCTCCAGGGGTCAAGTGCAACATGATAAAATGTGGGAGAGAGAGAGAGGGCCATGGAAAATAGCTTTTTGTTGGGCATCAGGCTGCCCTGTTAATGTTCCTTTTGTAATTTTGTGAATTCTGTAAAATTACCGAGTCCCCACAGTTCAGGAGTCTTCATATTAAACACCTTTCATAAACCCCCGAATGTGTCCCAAATTCTGAGACTCCAGAACCTGAGTCTCTTCTCCTTTTCTTTCTGTTTTTTTCTTTACTGAGATATAATTTATCTGAAGTGAAACATTGCTCTCTCAGAATAGTTTGGTGAGTTTTGACAATTATATATATTCATGTAGCCACTGTCCAGAGGTGGTTATAAAAACACTTCCATTACCCTAGAAAGTTCTCCAGGACCCTTTCCAGTCCACTGCCCCCTGTACCTCACAGGCAATCACTGTTCTGATTTCTGTCTCCTTCCATCCCTCTCTCCCTCCCTGCCGCCCTCTGCCCCTCCATTCCTTCCTTCCTTCCTGTTCCCTTTTCTTTCTTTTTCTTTATTTTGTGCTAGGGATCAAACCCATGGCCTAGTACAATCTCTCTACACTTAGCTATATCCCCAGTTCTAGTATTACTTTTTTACAAAAACAATTTCAAAGAAATGAAATCAAATACATGTATGCTTTTATATTGGGCTTCTTTCCTTCAGTATAAAGTTTTGATGCTCATTCATGTATCAATCAATAGTTTTTCTCTTTTCTTGCTGAGAAATACTCCTTTGTATGACTCTCCCAGTTTATCCTTTCTTCTCTTGTTGGCCAACTTGGCTATGATGCCTAAAACCACTACCATTTTTTTTTTTTTTTTTTAGACAGGGTCTTGGCCTCACTATGTCATCCAACCTGCCCTCAAAGTTGTTTTTTTTTTTTGGGGGTCCCAGGGTCCTTGTGCTTGCGAGGCAGGCGGTAGAACACTGAGCTAAATTCCCGGCCCCCTGGCTTCAAACTTGCAGTGATCCTCCTGCCTCACCCTCCTGAGTTTGGGTTTATAAGGCATTTGCCATCATGTCAGGCACAAATGTTTTTATACAAGTGTTTTTGTGAAGATGTATACTCATTTCTGTTAAAGTTGTTTTTTTTTTTGGGGGTCCCAGGGTCCTTGTGCTTGCGAGGCAGGCGGTAGAACACTGAGCTAAATTCCCGGCCCCCTGGCTTCAAACTTGCAGTGATCCTCCTGCCTCACCCTCCTGAGTTTGGGTTTATAAGGCATTTGCCATCATGTCAGGCACAAATGTTTTTATACAAGTGTTTTTGTGAAGATGTATACTCATTTCTGTTGAATCTATAACATGGGTGGAACTTCTGGTTCATAGGTTGAATGTAATTTTGTTTGTTTTCCGGTATGGGGAATTGAAGTCAGGACCTTGCGTTGCCCGGCAGGTGCAGCGCCACTGAGCCCTGTACCCGGCCCCTGCATGTATGTTTCATTAGAAATTACTTGTCCACCTCTTGATAGCAGTCCTCTTAAGGGAGAGGGATCAATTCCATCAGCAAGGCTCTTCTTTGGCCCTCAGATTAAAAAAAAAATAGGAGCAATCCTGTATTTTTATACACTTTGACGAGGTTTTTGGTAAACAATGTTTGTGGTGGAAATCAGAGAGCATAAAAATCAGCCTCTAGCCATCAGTCTGCTCTGCTCAAGGCCTAGGTTCTCTCTGGCCCAAGTGGTGAGATGGAGGAGTATACTTCCCTTTCTTTGCTAGCTTATCTCACTGTTGCTTTTTTAAAAAATAGTTTATTGTGCTAGTAGGGATTGAACCCAGGGCCTTTGCACTGAGCAACATCCCCAGACTTTTTCTATTTTTATTTTGAGACAGGGTCTTGCTAAGTTGCAAAATTGCCCAGGCTGGGCTAGAAGTACAGTCCTCCTGTCTTACCATGCTGCTTCTGGATAGCAGTCAGGCATTTCATTGTTTGAAATTCTGTGAAATCTTCAAATTCCATTTTGCACTCTTTCTGCCCCCAGATGCTACCAATTCCATATGCACATTCTATTCATTCTTTATTTTAAAAAAGCATGGTAGCTGGGTGTGGTGGTGCATGCCTGTAATCCCAGCTCTAGGGACGCTGAGGCAGGATCATTCTGAGTTCGAGACCAGCCTGGGCTACATAGTGAGTTCCAGGTCAGTCTCAACTACACAGTGAGACCCTGTCTCAAAAAAAAAAAAAAGAAAAGAAAAGCACGGCATTGAGGAAAAAGTCTATTTCTTTTTTAAATTGGTACACATTTATAGTACATAGCGATTACATTGTGGGGAATTGGTACATGTTGTCTTAGTGATTTTTCTCATTGCCAAATCTGTCTTAGTTACTTTTACATTGCTGTGACAAAATACCCAACCCCCACAAGTTAAAGGAGGAAGGGTTTATTTAGCTCACAGTTTGTAGAGGTTTCAGGCCATAGTTGGCTGGCTCCAAGGCAGGGAGCCATGGTAGAGGGTATCACAGAGGGGAAACACTTGGTAGTAGGGCAGGCAGAAAGCAGCAGCCTTCTTTCTGTCTTCCCTTTTCTCCATCCAGGCTACAAGCCTATTGGATGGTGCCACCCACACCCAGGGGGGACCTTCCCATCATTCACGCCCAGAACTGTGCTAAGCCATTCAGTGGACTAATATGGTTAGCACACACCCTTCATCCAAGTTCACACACCCTAGATCTAGCCACCTCTGAGACGCCCCAGCTGTGAGCGCATGAGGCTTTGGGGGAAGAGCTAAACACAAACCACATGTATGTGACATTTCTCAGTTCCCCTGAGAAGGAGTCCTGTAGGCTGGTCAGCACTTTGGATTGTCATGTCATGCTTTATCTGTGTTAATGCCCATTCTTTTCTGCACATCATAGAAAGGCCTGACATCCCACCACAGGGCCCTTGTCTCCTCCCTGGCTGCAGCTTCAGGAAAGTTGGCTCTCTGGTCAGCTGAGCTTTCCAAAGCTTATTAATTATCTGTAGCTAGAACTGCAGCACCTTGTTTTAGAAGAAAATACCACTATGGGCTCTGCTTTTCATTGTGCTTGCAACTGTTCCATCTCAGTAGTTTCCTGCTGGTCCTGGGCCCTGGGTTTTTCATGAAAGTCTTTTCTTTTTTTTTTGGTACCGCGGATCGAACTCAGGATTTTGAGCTTGTGAGGCAGGTGGTGGCACAACTGAGCCAAATCCCCGGCTCATGAAGGTCTTTTTTTCAGGGCCTACTCAACTGAAATCATCTTAATATACACAGCTGCTGGTGTCTTTGAGTGCTCTGATGAGTAAGCCTCTTCATGCTGGCCTAAGTGAGCAGATACACTTGCTGGCCGGATGAGCTTGTAGTCATTCAGCAAGAGAGTGGAACATTTATTTGTATCTGTCCTTTTGGTCCTAGCAGATGATTTAGTCCACACTGTGGGATCCCGGGAGTCCTCTTGTGGGCACATAGTCTGCTTATTGGTACCAGCAGGCCTGTGATCTGGTTCTAGTGTTCTCTGAGCCCTCAGCCACACTGAGAGTACTTACAGGCCTCTTGTTCGGCCTCTGGAGTCTCGGTGGATTGTTTCCTCTCAGGTCCGGTTTTGCTGCGTTCCTACTGTCTCTATGTCCTCCTGCTTGCCATCAATGGAGTAACCGAGTGCTTCACATTTGCTGCCATGAGTAAAGAGGAGGTCGACAGGTGGGTAACCTGAAAGGTACACCTTTAATCATGGCCTTTGGCCAAAAATGAAATAACTCAACAATATTTTTTCTTTTCATTCTGAACACCAATTTGCTGATGGCTCTCAGAGCAACACTGGCCCTCTAGCATGATCCCTCCCTGGGATCTCCACTGCACCAGCGTGACTCAGTTAGGGCCTCCCGTGGCAGGGCTGGGAGGCAGCAAGTTCCGTCTGCTTCCCTTCGTGGAGGAAGAAATTTCATCACTGAAGTCACATTTGTGCACGTGAGTCAGACATACAAGGTGCTAGGCTCCCTTTTCTCCATCTCCTTACTCAGCCCCATAAATAAATTAACTAAATAAACAAATAAACATCTAGACAAGGTTTATACCTCAGATAGTTAGATTTATAGCAATAGAATCCACTCCCCTCCACTCATAGATGAAAATGTCTAATTTTGAAAATACCATGTTTTTATTTGAAAGTTGCTTTTCACATTTTTTTTTCCCTGTGGTTCTGGGATTGAACCCAAGGCCTCATGGATCCTAGGTGAGAACTGTTCTACTGAGCTACATTCCTAGCCCCTTTATAAAATTTTATTTTTTGATAGGGTTTTGCTAAGTTGCCTAGTTGCCCTGGCTTCAAACTCCAAATCCTTCCTTAGCCTCCCATCAAACTGATTTTTTTTTTTATTTTTTGAGATGGATCGTTTTTTTTTGTGGATCTGTTGATCAAACTCAGGACCTTATACTTGCGAGGCAGGTACAGTGCCACTAATCTAAATCCCTGGCCCTCAAGATAGAGTCTTGCTATGTAGTTCAGGCTGGCCTTGTGGACTCATTGTGTAGTCCACACTACTCAATGATCCTCCTGCCTCAGTTTCCCAAGTGCTGGGATCATAGACCTGTGCCACCATGCCCAGCACACTGAATAATTTTAAAATATAATTTAAAGCATGCTAAGTGAAGCCCTGTGGAATAATGGAAAATCCCAAACTAGGAGTCTACCACTTTGAAGAGAATTTTATTATAGTAGCCTTGCTGTAGAGGGAGTTAGTCAGCACTAATCTATTTACAATATTAGAAAAAAGACCCAACCAAACCATAAGGGAATATGGACAGTAGCTGACTGGTTTCTTTCCATTTATACTGCATCGAACCAAAGGAGACAACTTCTAAATTAGCTGTAATGGAATTTTGACAATATATGGACAACTGGAAAATTGTTTTCATGGTATTAGGAAACAGAAAAAGCAAAGGCCAGAGCACCTTCAAATGCAGTTCTCATATGAGGTGACTCCTTTCCCTGTGGATAAATGCGCCTCAAAGCATGTGATTTCAGATGTGCATGAACACTGTAGCCCCATCCTCTCTGCCCCTGACCCAGCGCCCTGCCCCGGTCTGAACTCTCAGGCTCATCTCAGACCCCCACATTTCTTTCATCCCTGTGAATTTAACTAAAGAAAGCCATCAGGATGTTAGTAGTAGAACTGAGCAGCTTATTCAATTTTATAATAAATGATAATGGCTATACGTTGAACATTTCAGATTCCAAATAGCTAAAATACATTGATGCAAAAATGGGCTTTTACCTAACCAACTTCAGGTTAATCATTGTTTTTCTAAGTGAAAACAGTATTTGGTTAGTTATGAAATACTAATTCATCTTCTGATTCATTGTGCAGAAGAAACGTTTTCTTTTTTTCAGACATGTTTTCTTTTCTTTAATTTGACAAATAATCGTGAGTACTTACTCCCCAGCAAGCATTGCTGTACATTTTAGGAGTATAGCTTTGAACAGGACAGATGAGATCCCTGTTCTCTGGAGCTAATGAGGTGGGTGTCAGATAGTGAACTAGCAAATACAGAGGAAGATACATACCTGGCATGGTGACACTTGCCTGTAATTGCAGCTGCTTGGGAACTGAGATAGAATGGGTGTGATTTCAGGGCCAGCTTGGGGAATTTAGTGAGACTTTGTCTCAAAATAAAAATATAAAAGGACTAGGGAGGTAGCTCAGTAATTCAATCCCCAGTACTTCAAAGCAAAGGGAGGAGGAGGATAGGAGGGAAGGGAATGTGGAGGAAAGGTGAAGAGGAAGAGGAGGAGGAGGAGAAAATGAGAAGAAGGGGGTGTACTGCACTGAGAAATAACACTGGCTTGTGCAGTGAGTGGTCGGGCCCTTTAGGTTGGGAGCTAGGCCAGCCTCTCTGAGGTGATGGCATTTAGCCTGAGGCCTGGATGACCAAGAAGATGGTCAGCAGTGGGCAGGGCTTTCCCAGAGAGTGATCAGAAATGCACATGCCCGAGATCGATGGCTTCTCTGTCTGATGTGAGTGCCTTGGACGCGGACCCTGTCACTGCTGAATGAAGAAGGGTGACCGATCTCCTGCCAGCACACAAGGTCAGCGCCATTCTTCTCACAGCTGCAGAGGTGGTTCTGTGTGGTTGTGCCTCGGTGTGTCCAGCTGGCTTCTGCTGGGGCATGCTTGGGTTGGCCCTGCAGGCAGTACCCTTGACCACCTGTCTTCTGGTAAGCCTAATTTTAAGACCAGTGTCTTCTTGGAACCATGAAGAAATAAATAATTATAAATAATTTTACTGTTTTTGTTTTGTTTTTTTGCAAAGGGGATTGAACACAGGGCTTCATGCATTCTAGACAGTTGGTCCTCTACCACTGAGCTGCATCCTCACCCTTTCTTATTTACTTTGAGACAGAGCTCACTGTGTTGCGTCAGTGGCCTTGGACTTGTGATCCTCCTGACCTAGCTTCCTGAGCAGGTGTACCACCCTGCCTGGCTTAATTTATTGGTTATGTTAGCCAAACCTCATAGAATAGTCACTGTTACTGATGAATAATTTGCTGTGATTTAAAGAGTGACATTTTAATTGCATCTTTACAATGCTTATTTTTTTGAAGTGGATTATGGCTTTCTGGCTATAGATTTCTTAGTTGAGCAACTGCCGAGCACTTTTTTTTGAAAGGCAGCGGGCCCTATCGTCATCAGCTACACCCAGACAGCCATGGTGCTGTCTGCTCTGTCAGTGCATCCCTCTTTAATTAGTATGAATTAACTGTTGGTTTCATTTACTTCTAGCATTTTATTTGGATTTGGGTGAGATAACTGAATGTTTATAAATCTGTAGCGTAAACTCTTAAAGATTTGTATAGTAGACCCTTCTGAGATAGTTTCTTAAAAAGTGACAAATTACCAAAAAAGTGGTATAAGTATTTTTAAAAAAGTGACAGATTACGGTGGGGTTGTATTGTATGCCTATAATCCCAGCCCTCAGGAGGCTGAGGCAGGAAGAGCTCAGTGAGCTCAAGGCCAGATGCACCACGTAACAAGACTGTCTGGAATTTTTAAAAAAATTATAAGAAATAGAATAATTAAAAAATGACAGGTTAGGGCTTGGATTTAGCACAGTGGTTCCACTGCCTGCCTTGCAAGCACAACGTCCTGAGTTCAATCCCTGGTACCAAAAGCAAACAAAAATGAAAGGTTATATATCTTGTATCTCTTTCTCTCTCTCTCTCTCTCTTTTTTTTTTTTTTTTTTTTTTTTTTTTTTATTTGGTTTCTTAT